CTACGTCAGAAATGGAGCTTGAATCAGGTTATGAAGACAACCCAATCTTTATATCCTATCAGATGTCATTTACTGCTTGATTCCCGCAGAAATGAAAAACCAATACTGACCAGAAATAAATTGAAATGAAAAAGAAAAAAGGATCTTTCTTTTACTGTGAATCGATTCTTGGTCTTTATTACCAAATTCCAAATCACTCTTTTTCCTTTTTTTCTCTCCTCAGCTTTTCTCTCGCAAATTTTGTCATCTGTTGGGAACTTTATCTCACGAGTCTTGAAAAAAGCCCCCGTGTAGACATCCCAGATGCTTTGCTTTGTCACAATAATCGATCTTGGCCGTTGAACCTAAAAACACTACAATCGACGGTTGAAAACCCCAGCCCATCTGCCAACACCATCTGCCAACATGGCAGTATTCGTAGCCGTCTGTGGATTTACCTAAACGTGTGTGTTTTTCCTTCCTCCTAAGCTTTTTGTGTCCTGCGACTTTTTGTAAATGTCTTTGTTATTTTCTTTAATTGGAGCGGATGTGCTTAGATTATATTTTAAAAAAAAATGTTCAAACAGTTACCTCTACGGCCAATTTGACCCGCGCCCATCTAAGAAAGACCCAATTGAGGTGGCTAATGATGTGCAAGACGATAGGAAGATCTCATATAACAAAATAAATGTTCAAGTACAATGAAGAGCAACACCCTAATGCCGAAAGAATAAACCAGAGAGCACTACTAATGCTAGTAGGCTAAATACAAGAGAAATCTACCAACAATAACACCAAAGGCAGTAATACATAAACTGAACCCTCCAGTGCCATAAAGGACAATTCTCTCACGAATCGTCCTTTCAATAACCTCTAATTGGTTTGATCCCTAGAGTATCTTGAAAAACACGCCGAGAGTGTTGTTGACATCAAATTTTGGCCTCGCCTCTTAAAATATTGCACGTGGATATATGTATTAAATAAATATAACCATAGCAGGTTTTCTGAGCTGATTATTTAATATCGACCGAGTTCCGAAGTGCCCGGATCATCCACGTTCGAGCCGATCAGAATTAATATCATCAGCCAGGCCCGGATATCGAAAAGATTAGAGTTCGACAGACACAATAATTGCCGATAAAGTAGACGTCAATCGAAGCCGTCAAGTGTCACGATCGGGCCCCACAATGTCATCTTACATTAAACACTAATGTTCCCTATTTACCTATTTTTTTAGGCCCATTTGTAGGCCCACATCCCATTTGTAAGCCTACTTGTAAAGGGGGGGGATGCATGATTGAATGGAGGGCACACAAATCAAGGAAAAAAGGGACGAATGATGGCTTTCTTAAAAAAGGACCAAAAAACATAGTGAAAAAGGGGAGGGAGATTCATCTCCTGACAATCTCCTCACAATAATAAAAAGAGTTCTTGATTTTTCTATCTTGAAGATACATACAATCGATCGAACACCGATTATTCACGGAATAGGGGTGTTCATTTTAGTTTATCAAATCCGTTTATCAACATTTTGGCGCTAGAGGGAGGGCCCCGTAATTTATTCGGAGTTAATTTTCGCTGATTCAACCACATCTCTACCCCGAAAGAAGATCATTCCAAGATAAGATTATTCATAATCATATTCTAAGTTTTCTATATTCAGTGCTCTGTTATTCATAAATTCATAAATATACAATTCTGCATTAAGTTTTTATTTCTCCGCATAAGTTTCCTTGNCCCCAAGTTTGATCAATTTATTCATCTGGTGGATCTAATTATTCTATTTTTTGAATTTTGTTAATAAAAAATATGCTACTGTATATTTTCCATGAGCTGAAGTTTGAAAATGAAAAAGCACAAAAGCAAAGAGAAGATATCACTTTATTTTGCATCAAGTCGGCGTCTCCAACCTCTCTCCGCCACCAAGATTCCACACAATTGCCGACTTCACAGTTGGGGGCCCACCATCACAGTCGTCGGGACCGAGTTCCATTCATCACAAACCACAGGGCCAATCTCAGAACGGCCGACCTTGATTTGTGAGAGCATCAAAACCGACCTCGGCTTCTTCAATATCCCCGACCTCAATTGTCGGGGCCAACAGACTTCAGTCAACGGTTATCACAAGCTCGAGTCTCCAAAATTGAAGTCAAGCCGACTTGTCAACTTGCCATATCTAGCCGACCCGACCACGGATAAATTCGAATTGTTATCCAAACTCGGATTTCGGACCAAATAGTCACGTCAACGAGCTCGGATCTCCGTAATTGCAGTCAGGCCACCTTCTAATCCTTGCTCGTCGCCCATCGCCGACTTTGCATTTTGGTTCCCGACATCTAAAATCGTCGGGGCCGACCTCGCTTTGCACAAATCGTAAAACCCGACCTCAAATGTCGGGGCTAACCCTTTCACGACCGACTTCAGCAACACCAAATACAACTTCAAAGCCGGGCCGGCCGCCGATTAACTCTCACGGACCAATCTCACCACAGCCCAAATCGACTTCAAATGATGGATCCACCAAGTAGCCATCTCTGACCGACCTCGAAATCACGGCCCAACCTCGCTGGCCATAGGCGACTTCACAGCCGAGTCCCCGACCTCAAAGTTGTCGGAACCGAGCCCGACCTCGCAAGAGGCCTCCGACCTCAGAATACCAACTTCAACACAGAACTGACTTCATCTCAAAAATGGCCGACCTCATAGTAGCCTCGAGGTCCGACTTACCTCAAAGTACCGACTTCAACTTTCCCGACTTTAATCACCGTCCGAAACAGCTCGGAAACAGCCCGGAAACAGCTCGACGCGCCCCGGAACATCGATTTCAGTCACCGGGGCCGAGTTCTTCACAATCGGATACTTCTCACCGACTTTAAAAGGGGTCGTCGGAGGTCGGTGACCGTACTGACCGACGTCAACATCTTCGATCTCGGCCAATCAAGGCCCGAACTCCTTTTGCCGGGCCCGACATCATCGTCGCCGACATCACCTTCAAAACCGACCTTAAAATCGGGGCCGCCGTCACTTCAGGCCAGATTCAATCCCTATCCCGACCGCTTTTCTCCGACTTCAAAATTGACCGACTTTAATTGATGGGTCTCCCGAGCAGCCACCGAAACGCGAACTCGGTCACCGAGGCCGAACTTTTCCCAATCCGGCCGACTTCCTAAGCAATTCACCGACTTCACCTTGTCGAAATCTCGATAGGCCGACTGCACCACAAAATTCGACCGAAACCGACTTTGTCGTCTTGAATCTCCGAGCTATCTCAAAGGATTTTTATCGTTATCCGCGAGGCGAACGATGTGAGAGAAATATGTAGAAGTGAAAATCGGGCTGCTTAGTAAATATCTTATTTAAAATCCATTTGGGCCTTATGCTTAAGTTGGCCCAAACAAAAGGGAAGAGGAGTAGCTAAAAACCAAGCCAATTTATCTATTGGGTAACATTCCGGGATCGAGATTTATTTATTCGAATCAATACTAGCCGGGCCGAGCTCATATACACAAGCCGAAGACACTGAGGACAAATTTATTTCAACCGACGATAGTCGTGGCCAAGCTCATTCATACAGGGCTGATTTATTATACGCCCACAGACGAACTGTCTCACCAGGTCGGTTTATTATTTACTCACCACAAATCCCGGTTCATTCATTCCTACGCTCACTAATGGTACCAGCCTATCGGATTGATTCATTATTTGTTCATCCCCGACCTTACAAACCCACGATGAGGTCGAGCTTTTCTCTTCAAAGCGAAGTCAAACTCATTTATTAATACTTGGGACGGATTCCCTTACTTATGACGGGTTCAACCTCGTTTATCGATGCTGGGGCCGAGTTCATTTATCAACGCTGGGGCCGAGTTCATTTATCAACGTTGGGGCCGAGTTCATTTATCAACGTTGGGGCCGAGTTCATTTATCAACGCTGAGAGCCGCATTCATTTATCTACGCCAGAGTCGAAGCCACTTATCTATTTGCAACGACTTACCCATTCACGTTATGCCCGATCATCAATCTGCGACGTCCATATTTCCTCGCCGTTGAGCATCGACTCCGGCTGAGCTGACGTCTATATTTTCTCGTCGTAGAGCCTCGACTCCGGCTGAGCGACGTCTTTATTTTCTCGCCGTCGAGCTTCGACTCCGGCTGAGCCGACGTTTATATTTTCTCGTCGTCGAGCTTCGACTCCGGCTGAGCTGACGTCTATATTTTCTCGTCGTAGAGTTTCGACTCCGGCTGAGCCGACGTCTATATTTTCTCGTCGTAGAGCCTCGACTCCGGCTGAGCGACGTCTTTATTTTCTCGCCATCGAGCTTTGACTCCGGCTGAGCCGACGTCAATATTTTCTCGCCGTAGAGCATCGACTCCGGCTAAGCCTACGATTATATTTTCTCGCCGTAGAGCTTTGACTCCGGCTGAGCAACGTCAATATTTCCTTGCCGTAGAGCATCGACTCCGGCTGAGTGATGTCTATATTTCCTCGTCTTGGAGCCTTTGCTCTGACTGAGTTATCGTCTATATTTTCCCCGCAGTGGAGCTTCCACACCGGCTGAGATGCCATGCCCAATTCTTACACCAAATCTTGAAGTTGATCTGGTACAACAAATACCTATTACACCAAATCCTGAAGTTGATTTGGTACGGAAAATACACATTACACCAAATCCTGAAGTTGATTTGATACGACAAATGCCCATCACACCGAATCCTGAAGTTAATTCGGTACGGCAAATGCCTATTACACCAAATCCTAGAGTTGATTTGGTACGGCCAATATCCCGGTAAAGCAGTCGAGGTGACATCATTTACCGCCCTCGTCATATATTTACACATTCCTACGTACGTTCATCACATAATGTGTATCATACTTGCATCTT